TCCTGACGTGGACGTCAGCCAACAGCCAGCCTCTGCCGTCAAGTGTTTGGTTATTGGTCAGCTCAGCGTCAAAGCTGTTTGTCATTAGAAGCTTCCCTGACTTCATCAAGTGAGAACTTCAGTCGCTGAGATAAGATAGGTCAAGAATAAATACCATGTCGAGTCATTTCCTTCCTTTCTCTACAGCAAGCAAACTGAAGAAGATCCAGGCGTGCAGGAACTAGAAGCATTAATAGACGCAATCCAGAAGCAGCTGAAAGATTATTCATGCAAAGACAACATTCGTGAAGCGTTTCAGACTTGTGACAAGGAAGCTTCAGGTTATGTGGACAGAGAGACGTTCTTTAAAATCTGTGAATCTTTTAATGTTCCGATTGATGACTCCCTGGTTAAGGAGGTCAGTATGAATTACTACTGCTCTGGGTGGGTGGCAGAGGCTGCGCACTGATCATTCTTTCCTAAAGGCAGTTACATCTGTATTTCTTTGTAGTCCAGAAAGATTTAGGACACTCAGACCAGATCTCCTGTTTTATCCTGATTATGATAACTGCCCCCGGTTCTAGTAGGTGCATTCTTTTGTAATTGCTGTGGCTGTGGCAGGGCCGGGAACTAGACAGCAGAGAGTTATTGGTAGATCAACGTGTCAGGGCTAAAAGGAGAGCATCAGAGGTGATCTTGGAGGGGCAGATGCCAAGGGGACTCACAGTCAAGTTGAGACAAGTATTTGTTCATGTGGGCCAAGTACCCATTTAGCTGCCCAGATCTTAGATTGACAGCATGGTAAGCTTTTGATTTTCAAGTCATTCATACTTTCTGACACGGGAAGCGAGAGGCAAGGGATGAATGGCAGTCACTGGGAAGTGATACCGGGAAGGGGTGGGTGGGGTGGATCCTCATATGTCATATAAAGATAACCGCAACAGGTCAGTTACCAGGCCCAGTTAGGCTTTAGGGACATGGTTTTAGCAGTGACATTACTAGACTCTTTTATTTGCCTGTGATTAAAGAAGCCTGGCATTTCAGTAATCTCACTCCTCATAGGCTGGGTGGACAAAGACTTGAATTTGAATATAAAAACAAAAAAGATTTTAAAAATGACATTGCCCTCATAAATACTGGATGTTGGTCCCAAAATCTTGGATAGGCGTATTCTCTGAAGCTTTGTTTTTATTTAGTGTAAAATTGGGGTAATGCCTGAACCTACCTCCCAGGTTCATAGGATCATTTTAGCATCAACTGAGGATATGAAAACTCGGAACTGGTTTACCAAGGTAGGGTTTGTCATGCCTAAGTACACTGCAGGTAAGCTGAAGGAAGCCCTCATATTGGTTTTTACCTGTTTTTTCTGCTCTCTTTTGCAGTTAATCCGGATTTGCTCTCATGGAGAAGGCAAGATTAACTACTATAATTTTGTGCGTGCTTTCTCAAACTGATCTGGCCAATGAGAGAATACAACTTTTTGATGTTGGACTAACACTTTGAAATAGATCTTGTACTCTCCACAGAGGCATGTCCAGAGCCCCTGAAGTTATATTTCTGTTTTGGTTCTTATATTTCACTACTACTACTGAAGTCTAAATTAAATTAGACCTTTTATGATCTAAGACTTGTCCCTTACTTGGAGTGGTAGAGGTATTGTGATGGTTAATTTTATATGTCAACTTGACTGGGCCATGGGTTTCTGTGAAGGTGTTCCAGATGAGATGAACATTGGGTCAAGCTGAAGTGAGCAGCCTGCTCTCCCTAGTGTGGGTAGACCTCATCCAGTCACTTGAAGACCTACTGACCCTCCCTTAAGCAAGAGAGAATTCCTCCCATCAGACTGCCCTCAAGCTGTGCCATGGCCTTTTCCTGCCTTTACACTAAAGTAAAGCATTGAATTTTCCTGGATCCAGAGCCTGCTGGCATTTGGACTTGAACCACGCCCTCAGTTCTCCTGAGGTTTGCCAGCTTAGCCTGCAGATCTTGGGACTTATCAGCCACCATTACTGTGTGAAGCAGTTCCTTATAGTCAATCAATGTCTGTCCTCCTCAAATACACATGAGGGTATTTCAGAAAGTTAATGAAATTTACAAGTAATGGCATATTTTCCATGAATATTTTAAAGACTTGTATACTCAACACCCACCCACCCACACACACACACAAACACCCCTCCTACTTTTTCTTTGGAGAACCCTTAGCATAGATGTGGAATGATTAACAGCAGGAGGAATGACAGATTTTCTGGAAGCATTTGGATATCAGAAATAAGCATAGTATTGCTATTGCTGCTAGCCAATGTCCCCCCTCCACCTCCCTGCCCCAGTATTGAAGGGAAATGTTTTTCATGTCCACATGTTTTTAAACTGTCGTTCTAGGCCCAATTAGTACTCCTGTATTTTTAAAGGATATAATAGATAATATCAATGTGGTACACATATTAGGGTTTTTTTTTTTTTTCATGAGACTTCCATTTCATCTGAATATGTTTTACTGGGCCGTAATATAAAATATCTTTCTTGATATAGGTTGCAGTTTAAAAAAAATATGAGGAAAACACTGCTTTTGGGAGCCTGGCCTTCAGACAGGAGGGAAAGGCTGGTCTCTGCTGAGCGCTGCCTTTGTAGAACCAGGGCTGCTCTATAGTGGAAGTCAGCCACCACCTTCACCTCCAAAAATGCCATCTCAAATTCCTGCCTGCCATGCAAAGTGGTAAGAAGGAGGATGGAGTTATTTAGGGTCCAGGTTGGCTGGGCCCCCTCAGAACAGCTGGGGAACGTCCCTTGGTCTTTTCTAATGAGCTAGGCCACCTCCCACCAGCTTCTCAAAAGGCTGTCTGTTATGTTCTTTTCTGTGCCAGCTTATCTCAGGAAGAACACGTTTTGTTTTTTCCCCCACTTATAGCTATTAAAATCTCATATTCATATTTTAAAAGTATTTTGATCTTAAAAAAAAATCCCAAGCTCTACTGTGCCTGCCCCAAATTCAGTACTGCCCCAGGCCTGGAATCCTATAGTAGAGTATGTGCTGGGGCAGGTAGAAAGGTTTTCTGCTTCCTTCCCTCCTCAGGCTTCTGCCCTTTGGCCCAGTTCCCCATGCTGCTGTGTCTGGCCCATTTAGGTTTGGAAGAATTAAGGGATGGAAAGGAGAGGAAAAAAGGCAAAGTCTTAAGCCTATGGCTAGTAATGTAATCATCTAGGGTGGGTTCTCTCTCCCCAAGACCATTTTTGGTGACTTCTTAGGACTCTTCTCCCTCAGGAAACTCATTCTCAGATGCAAATGGCCTGGTCTGCAGAGACTGCCCCGCCTTCTTACAGGGCTCCTGTCCTCTCAGCAGGTCCTCTTGGGTGGGGGCATTTGCAGGCTGACATGTCCTTTTCCAGGGTGTCCACTGTCACCCACGGTTGGGATTAACACAGCTCCGCTGGCTGTGCAGTTGAGCAGCTCAGTCTTTTTCTTGGAGACCTGTTTTAGCTGAGAAGCAGGCACTCCAAATCTGCTCACCCTGCTGCAGGGGCACATGTCAAACCCTGAGTGTTAAAGCTCAGCTTGCAGCTCACAGCACTCCAACAATCCCTCTTAAGAAAACTGCATCCCAGTATTTCCTGTCACCCTTTCCTCTACGGAAGGGCAATTTCACAAAAGCGTTGGCCATCGCCTCAGCAAAGCGTCCATGGGTCTGCAGCAAACTGCAGCACATGAATGCACCTGCCAATTTTTGTCTACAGCTTTGGGCTTCACCCAAAGCCTGTTAAACATCCTCTTACCCATTCCTTTAAACCAGGTGCTCACAACCCTCTACCCTCATTTCTAACCACTCATCTCTTATTTTCCTTTATCATTCCCACTAGATAAAATGTTGGTATCTTCACTGAATGTAATGGGGACTAGTTTTTAAATGTCAGCCCCACTGTAATTGTTGTCTCAGAGCTGTCTTGAGTAAGGTTAGCACTATCCAATATTCCTTACGCTTGCCATCCACTGCTCATCTTCCATCTCCTTCCAAGTTTACCCAAGACTGAAAGCAGAGATTTGACAGTGCCATCACAAGGCACTTGCAGCACCTTGTGGGTGCCAATTGGCTGTGAGTTAGCCACTACTCAACAGGCCTGGCCTATATACTGTGTGTACCACTAGGGGGCCTTGGAAATACCACTTAGTAATGAAGGTATATCAAGCAGAGAAGACTTTTCTAAATATTTCCAGAGAATCAGGGGTTCCTTGGGTAAGTGACTCCTGAATATCCTGCAGGTACTTGAGAAGGAACATGTTCATTAGACAAAGCAATTTACCAAGTGCTTTTAGCATTCACTACATCTCACCACCAGCATTCCTCCTGAAAGAAAAACCTTCAGGACAGAGATGAGCAGTTCTCATAGCAGAGCAGAATTAAAACCCAAGTCAGCGTCAAAGCTTGCTGTTAATTCTGCTCACCGGTACCTCAAGCAGACTTTTGCTGTTTAACTGTCACTCCTGTGGGTGTCCTTGGCTAACCATGGCCGATACCCACACTCATCTCCTGAGTTCTCGCCAAAGATGGTTCTAGAAAATTGCAGCAGGCAACTGCAGGCAATCCAAGTGATACCAGCAATGCCCATTGGCCCCCATTACTATGGACATCTAACCATGTGGCTTTTACACACATGCTGGATCCTACCTCCTGCATTCCAAATGACTTCATAATATAGTAGGCACCAGACCTGGTGTGCTTCCTTCTGGAGCTTCCCACAAGCCCCCATGTTAAGGAAATTCTCTTTCTCTCCTTTACTATTACAAATCAAATAAAAATGATGCATGTTACCATCCAGCACTCCATATATGACCTTTCTCTCCACCCTGAACTCTAGTCTCATTCACACCACCACTATGGACAATATACCCCCAAGAAATGACAAATATAATTAAAACATTTAGACATGGGGCTTAAATGGATACAGTTTTTCAAGTAAAACCAAGTAAGCAGCTGGATTAGAAAGCACTATTCTGTAAAAACATGTCAAGGAATTACAGCAGGAGATTAGACTGATAATTCTATGCCTTTTATTCCGTTATTTCAGAAAATATTTGATCATTTGTTTCAAAATGTACATTAAAAAATCCGTACAAAACTGTCATTTGTTTTAAAACCAGACAGAAACAGTGGAAAAGGGTTTTTGAAAAAAGTCCACCAAAAGTAAACAGATACCCCTCCCCCCAAACCCTTTTACATGAAAGCATAAATACCGAAGGTACAAATTTTCCTTGAGTTCCTTGTTGAAATTTGGTCCATAACATGAACAGACTAAAGTAGAAAAACAAAGAGACAATACATCCATATTTGCATTACAAGTTGCTCAGGGCACCAGCAGCCTCAGCTCATCCTTCAGGTGTTTATGAAACAGAGGAACTGAAAAATGAGGTTTATCGTCTCAGCACATAAACACTGGAATCTGTACCCAAGGAAATGGTGGCACGTCATATCGCAGCCAGACCCTCCCAGGTGAGCAGGGCTATCCACCTGCGGTGGGCTCTCAGAAAAAAAACCTTCCTCTCCACGCAAATGACAAACTCTGGAATGCTTTTAGGCATGGGGACGGTGATGCCAGCCGCGAGCGGATATTCATCATATCTGGTTCCCAGATGCTAACTTCTGTCCCACCACGAGGATGGGCTGTTTCTCAACAGATTGTAAAATAAGTAAATGGACTTGTAAGATGATGCTACATGTTCTACAGGAGCGCCATAGAAACCGCCCAGGAACAGGAGAATGACAGCAACAGAGAAAGTGGCTGACATTTCTTCTGTAAGGGATGACGACTACCCCTCCTCTGAGTCCCATCTCTTCCCCAGTGACGGGGCACTGTAAGGGACAATAAGGCCTGTGGACAAGACCACTGGCTGGGAGAGTTATTGCACAACCCGGAAGAGCAAGGATAAAGGCAGGCAGGCAGGCAGGGGCAGAGGACAGGGTGGCTGCTGCTCACACAGGTAACACTGAAGAAGGGCCAAGAACAGTGTACAACAGCCAGGCCAGACCACTGTCCAATGGGTTATCTATGAGTTAACACTTGAGACTGGGAAGTCAAAGTAAACACCTTTTTCATATAAACTTTGGGTTGAATGGGCAGTAAAATAGATGGAAAAGAGGTTACAGCAAGAGTGCCTTTTGTTTTTCCGTCTAGAGTACGAGGGGCCTGGAAGAGCAGGGCTTGCTGTGTGGGGCAGTGGCCCAGGGGCCGGGAAGGGAACCTGGGAGTCTCCGAGTTTCCCTCAGAGGGTGCAGGGCACGGTGCCTGTGGTTGAGCCCTCACAGGCCTCTACGGTCACCCAGCAGGGCCAAAAGGGGACACACAAGGGAGACACTAGACACAAAGCAGAAAACACTCCAGACCCTACAGCAGTGGGGGTGTGGGTGGAACAAATGAGGCGAAACCGTCGATCCATGTCCCTTTTCTATTGAACTGCACTGAGGTACGGTGTCTTTGGCTGCGTACGACAAACAGCCCTTAGTGCCCTGGCAGTGGGGGTTGGCCTTACACAGTACGAGTGAAAGCCACACAGCAAAGTAAGGCACTTAGGACACAAAGAGAAAAGGGATCTGCTCAGGACAAAAACGCTGTAGGGAGCTTACAAGTCCCAGTGCCTCTCCATCAAAGACTGAGAGGTGGGAGGTGAGGAAGCTGGGGGCATGGGGTGGAGGGGGGGAGGTTGGTCTTTCCCAGCCTTCTGGGAGCTGGAGCTAATACCCATGCAAGAAGCAGAGAGAAGGCGGCAAGGCCTCCCTCACTGGGGCCAGCCATGGGCCAGAGAGGAAGTCTATTCAGGTGGTGTGACAAGGAGCTGATTCTCTGGTAGGAGACAGGCTGTAGCTGGGAAGGCAGGGGAGGGGAAGAAAGTGACCCCTGCTGTCTGATGCGTGGGCAGCCAGTCTTCTCCCTATCAATGACAGAGCAACAGGGGAGCAGACTGAAGTCTGCTGCTGTCAGGCCCAGGCCTTAAAACACAGGAGGCAGTTACACCCAGGCCACCCTCCCATCACTCACCCAGGCCTTGGAACACATGGGAGGTTGCCCAGCCACCAGGGCACTGGCAAGTCACTCTAATTAAAGCATCCATGGGGTGCACTCTCTGTCCCACGCCTTGCTCAGCAGAAAGGTCAAAGGTATGGAGGAAGAAGGTCCCAAAAGCACACAATCAGCCCTGGGGAACACGGCTGGGCCTCAGGAGTTTTCAGCCCCGGTCAGGAGAAGCACCTGTGAAGGTGGCGATCTGGGTTTCTTAAACGCTGGTAAGGGCTGCTTTGAGATGGGAATAGACAAGGTTCTCAGCGTCCGCTTGGGCCTGATGGCCCAGGCTTGCAAAGGGTTAGAATCAACAAGAAAGGGAAGCGATCGGCGCCCCTCCTGGCCCAGCCTGCTCCCCTTTCCTCCAGAACCACCACTTTCCTTTGGAAGGAGCACACGTAACTTAGCAACCATGCAGCTCTCCATGTGGATGGCAAAGTAACCGAAACCCCAAGGAGGGAAATCGGCAATAGGGCAGCCTCTGTCCACCAGCATGGCCACAACGCTCCTACTGCTGCCGTCTGCTGGCCTCCCAGTGCCCGGATGCCGGCCAGGGATGTCAGGCAGCAGGTGCTGAGGTAGATTAGCATCTTTTCTGCTCTCAGCGGATGGTGCTGGGGTGGCCTCTCAAACTCGGAGGCATCTGGCAGGGCCTTCGCTCAAGCCTAGGCACTTGCAACAGGAGTACACAAAGCTGAAAAACGTAGCTAACATGGCCGATTTAAGAAAAGCCAGCCCAGCTGGGTCACTGGGGTAGGGGAATTATTCCAGCTCCAGCAATGTGGTTCGTGTCAACCTGCCAAAGGCTTGACCAAGCTATGAGTTCAGTATCCCAGGGAAGCTGGTGTACCCTACAGTTCCTCTCCAGCCCCCAAAACATGAGCAAAGCCCAGGCTAGAGAGATGCCATTCTTACTCAGGCTCCTGGGGTTTAACAGAAAAGATTTTCTTTTCTTTTCTTTCTTTCTTTTTTTATTTTCTTTTATTGACAGGCAGAGTGGACAGTGAGAGAGAGAGACAGAAAGGTCTTCCTTTGCCGTTGGTTCACCCTCCAATGGCCGCCGCGGCTGGCGCGCTGCGGCCGGTGCACCGCGCTGATCCGATGGCAGGAGCCAGGTACTTATCCTGGTCTCCCATGGGGTGCAGAAAAGATTTACTAACTCCCATCACCGAACAAAACCCGTCCTACAGAAAACAAGGTCTAAGTCAAGGTCTGGCTGCTAGGCTGTGGTACCACGCACAAGGCACGGCCTATGGGCAACACTGGAAACCTGCAGCAAACTACGGGAACACGAAGCCACGTTCCTCCAGAACCCAGAGCAGCAACAAGCCACAGATGTGCGGGTGGAGGCGGCTTGAGGGCGAGCTGACCACGGCCTCCCCCACCCAGCACATCACAAGCACGCCACGTGTACTTGTGGAAGACCCGACAGCAGCTTCATCGGGGCTCCTCCGGGGTGTGGGGGTGGGAGGGAGTGTGTGCAGGACACTGGGGAGGTCCTGCCCATGACACAGAGAACCTACTAATGGGAGAGGAGAAGAAGGAAGCTGCTGGATGCACACTCCCCACACAGGCAATGCCCAGGAACTCACTGACACCGTGGCAGGGCTGTTTGACTGAGATGCCTACAGGCTTCCGGGTCGGGTCTGCTGGGTTCTGCTGTGTGGCACAAAGAAGTGTCAGGAGAGGAGGCGGAGGGGTGGGAGAAATGCCCGCCTGCAGAAACGCTGTCCTCCTACCTACCGGAAATCAAAGGCAGCCCAGGGTAGGCCCCCCCGATGTCTGCAACATTACTCTGGACATAGACAGAAGTCTAGAATGGTGGCCCTCGGTGACTGGCAATGACAATCTATCTATCTAGCTATCTGTGCAGGCGACTTGGACAAGGGAAGTGTGTTGGAGAGAAGACCCATCTCCCTCCTGTCTGGACCACCACCCGTGGTCTGTTTTCTACTGTGAGCTCAAGAAGAGGAGCCACATACCAACCACATGGATGTTCCTGTGCCCACCAAGAATCGCCCCCTTTGCCTCAGCAGAGTCCAGGCACTCTGCATTAGGGCCTTGTTAAGCCCAGCTCCCCTTCCGGAAGCCCTCACAAGGCACCATGAGGACTTGGAGGACTGGAGGCCTTGTCTTCAGGTGGAGGGAAGGGAAAGAACACGGGGAGGGATGGGGGCAAAGGGCTCCCAGCGACTCAGCCGTGCGTGCTCATCCACCCCGAAGAGTGGGCCTAGAGTCAGCCACCACATGTGTGCTCTACAAACATCAACAAGTGACAACAATTCAAGGAACACTCGACAAGGGAGGCCATAGGGAGAGTGGCCAGCTGGCCCTCCCTGGGGCACCAGGGGACTGGCATGGGGCTGGAGTCCTTGAGGCTTCATGTTTCTGCAGGTCAAGAGATGAAGTCAACGGAGGCAAGCCTGGTGCCGGACAGGCAGGTGTGTGAACAGCTGTCTGGTTTGGTTTTGAATGCTGGTGAAGAAGCCACTGCAGCCGGGACTACTGGAGAAAGGCCGCGGGCGACTGTGCTCTCATTTCGGAGGCCGTTCCCTTTCTGGAAGAGCCGCTGTCGGCGACGCGCTTTGCTCTTGCTCTGAACCATGGGGAGCCGCACACGGCGATGCGATGGCAGGCTGCTATCCAGTCCAACGCCAGCCACTCCTGTGAGTCAGGGGACCCAACGGAGCCAACACCATCCTTCTGGATTGAGTCGCCACGTCCCAGAGCCAAAAAGGCCTTGGCATTTACTACCAGCAGTGGCTGCTGTGCCTCGCGATGGCTCGTGCAGAATTGGAATCATACATCTCATCAGTTAATCAGCACCCAAGAGATTATGATCCAAAAGGGCCGGCCTCTCCTCTTCTTGCCCGTCCACACGAGGACCACCGAGGGGCCTGCTGCTGGCCGCAGGCTTCCAGACTCACAGGTCCCGGAGGCTGAGAGGCACAGGACCACCATCTGAGCTCCCTCCCATTGTAAAAAAATCAGAGAAGAATTGCACGCGAAGGTGAAATAAAGAAGTAGAAAGAGAAGGCAGCAGTCACGGAGGAAGAGAAATAAGAGGCAGAAAGACAACCACAAGACCCGGGCTTCTGGAGAACCCAACATGGGGCCGAGGTGAAGACAGGAGGTGGCTTGAGGGAGAGAAAGAGATAGATAGATTTTTGGCTTTATTGAGAAGGGTTTGTGAAGAGTAAGAAGAGAAAGCCAAGAAGTCAGAAGAACAGCCCCGTTTAAAGACAGGTCTCTGCCATCTGAGAAGGGGCGTCGCAAGCCGGAAGGCAGAGGCAGAGAGGGAGGGGCCTGGCTCTGAGCCTCCCTGCTGGCCCCCGCCACGAGGATGCCTGTGCTCAGCACTTTGGCCTTAGGGAGACTTGAGTTTCTTAGTCCGTGGGGAGGTTCCGTTCTCTGCCTTCACCACTCCGTTTTCATGGTACCCTGGGAAGCGGAAAGAGAGGAGACGCACACATGGAGTTTCTGCTGGGCCTGCAGCAGGAGGTGGGGAACAAGGGCCAGAGCAGCCCCGCGGCTGCACACGGAGGAGCCACCTGGACAGCGGCTGCAGTTCCCGCAGCCAGTGGAAGTCTGCAGACAGCCATCGCGGGCTTCCTGCTTTCCCCAGCCTTGACAAGGGGCCCCGTTTGAGGTGCTCGGTAAGCAGGGAGGCCCAGAATGACTCACAGTAACCCAGGCACAGGCATGGGAGGCCCGCCTGCCCAGGCCTGAGGTTGGGGCTGGATGCTCGCTGCCATCACTCAGCCTGCTGGGTTCCTCAGTTCCACTCGGCAGGCCCCTGCAGGGCTCCAGCCCGCTTTAACAACAACTCCCCGAACGGCAGCAACAAAAGGGAGAGTGTATGGGAGGCTGTAGCGATCAGGCCTTACTCCGATGCCAAATGTGCCTCTGATGCCATCTTTCCACGCTTGTTAAAAATATACCTGCATGCACCTGCTGCAAGGCAGAGACGTGTGAGTGCTGCAGCCTCACGCCCCACACTTCCCAACTGCAGAGCTGGCTCCTCCTCACACCCAGCTGCACACGTGTCTGCGCTAAGCACACCTGAGCCCTTGCCAAGCAGGCGGCTGCCTGGAGAAAGGCGGGTGAGTCAGAAAACAGATCCTGGTGCAGACAGGGGCCCCGGGGCTACACAGAAACTGCAGGGCTGGCAGTGCAGGGGCCAGGGGAGAAGTGGGTGTCCCACCCTGGCCGCCCACCTAGCATTGTGTCACTGTGAGTCATTCCTCTAGACAGAGGAGGAGCCAGCAACCTGGGAGACAAAGGGCAGGTGAGGACAGAGCCACTGCGCAGCGCAGGGCATGGGCGGCAGCACGTGGCAGGGGCCCAGAAGCCACCCTGAGGGCATACTTCCCGCCAGAGCTCGCCAGCCAGCACCATCCTGCCCCACAGTGGCCGGGCTCCGGGCCTAGTGAGGGCCAGCTCCGCCCACACTGTCCCTGGCCCGTGCCCAGCCACGTGCCAGTCAGGGAGCTGAGGAGTCCCAGGCCTCAGGGAAGGAGTCAGAAAGGAGGAGCAGGCAGGACTGGTCTGGGGAGAGCCCAAGAAGCCGGGCCTGGCTCCTCCACACGCATCCCAGACAGACGTCACCGGCTGGGGCCTGGCACTCACCAGATTCCCTCTTGATGAGCCTGGCTGGTAGTCTGGGGGCAGCTGGCACTCTCCGCTTGGCACTCTGCTCGTTCCAGTACTCTCGCCAGTGCCGCAGCTGGGAGTGGATGAAGCGCCACATGAGCCAGGCCTGGGCAGCACATACCAGCAGCAGCACGCAGAGCCTGGGGGGTGGGGGTGGAGAGGTGGGCTCAAGGGCGGGCCCGAGGGCGGGACTCGGGCCCACAGCCCCAGGTACAGGGCAGGACCCTGCAGCTCCCACAGCCCGGCCCACCACCCTCACTGCCAGCACTGTCTGGCACCAGGAAGTGTGTGCTCCAGTCTTTCTCTGCTCTAGTGCATGTCAGGGTGTTGCAGCAACGGGGCTGGAGGACGGGGAAGGTGGAGGCGACAGGGGCAAGTCCAGTTCCACAATCACGTGACTCCCGTGCCCACAGAGAACCTGTGGCCATGTTGCCTCTTGGATCCACAGCACCAAACAAGGCTGATGTAGGCTCCAAAAATATGGGTAGGCCTCAAATGAACTGAATTGTGAGGCAGCATTAGTAATTCCATCTAGCAGGCCACTTAGAGGCAGAGGGGCCAGTGTACAACACAGCAGTCACACCGCCTCGGAGCCACCTATACTGCAGAGCCTGGTTTTGAGTCTCAGCTCTGCTCCCGATTCAATTTCCTGCTCACATGGACCCTTCTGGAAGGCAGCAGATGATGGCTCGAGTACCTGGATCTCTGCCACCCACATGGGAGAACCAGATGGAGCTTCAGGCAGCTGACTTCAGCCTGGCCCAGCCCCGGGTATTGTGGTCATTTAAGGAGTAAACCAGTAGATGGAAGATCTTTTTGTGTCTTTGTCTCCCTCTATGACTCTTTGCCTTTCAAATAAGATGAAAAACAAAAATAAAGAATTTAAAAAAAAAAAACCTGAGAAGAGAAAGAACTTTTTAAAAAAGATTTATTTATATTCTTGAAAGGCTGAAAGGCAGAGTTACAGAGACAGAGAGAGATCCCACTCACTGGTTTACTCCCCAAATGACTGCAATGGCTGGACCTGGGCCAGACTAAAGCCAGGAGCTTCTTCCAGGTCTCCCAGGTGGGTGCAGGGGCCCAAGCACTTGGGCCATCTTCTACTGCTTTCCCAGGTTCAGTAGCAGGGAGTTGGATCAAAAGTGGAGAAACTGGGACTCGAATCGGCATGCATATGGGATGCTGCACCGCTTTATCCACTAAGACACAGTGCCAGCCTCTCGATGTTTAAAAAAAAAAAAAGGGCAGAGTAATCCTGGCCAAGGCACCCTCCCATGCCTGTGGACTCACAAAAACACAGTGGCTTCTTCCTCGCCTTGGTGGCAGGGGAGGGCATTACCAACTGCTGAGCACACAGTATTAAACCGGCCACATGTGGCTGTGCCTATCGAGACCGGAAGTGAAACTTCCCGTGTACCCTGAAGCACTGGACAAATGTGAGAGGATTTGCAGTCAGGAAGTGAAGATGTTCTAAAGGCAGCAGAGGCCGGTATCTATCCCCTCCTCAGGCCTCATGTTCCAAGACTCCCAGCTAACCAACAAGGAGCATGAGACGCAAAGATCTGCTGCCCCGTGACCTTCTGCGGAAGCTGTGCCAAGTTTAGGAGGCTCCTGGCCTGGAGCTGGAGTCCTGACATCTCCTCGGGCTCCTGCCAGCACTCACCTGCAAAGCAAGGTGTTGAAGTTCCCCTTCTCAGGGTCAAACGCCTGGTTTTCCATGCGAGCCAGTCCAAAGCCAATGGCCAGCACAGCGAGGGTGAGGATGAAGAGGCGGGTGACCCCAAACACAGCAGCCCAGGCGTTAAACCTGCTCAAGGAGGCAGAAAGGGGGCCCTTTGAGCAAGCTGTATCTGCTTCTCCAGGAGTAATCCCAAGTAGGAAGAGGATTCGAGAGGAGTCCAGGAAGGGGCTGAGGGGTAAGATATCTAAGGATCAGATGCTCTGGAAAGAACATAATCTTAGGGGGCCGCCTTCAGCTAAGTGGGCAGTTTGCACCCAGGGCGGGACCCACCATAGCCTCTGAGCAGGCCAGCCTCTCACAGCCCCACTTACAGCTTCTCGTTGTTTTCGTCTGCAAAGTAGAAGAGTCGAGCCATGTGGAAGAGGAACTCGGTCGAGTACTGCAGCAGCAGCAGGATCAGGCCCAGGCGGCTGAGGCTGGGGGGGAGAGGACGAGGCTGACACTCTTCCCCGAGAAGCCGTACCCCAGCCTGCCCGTCTCGGCTCAGGCTGCCCTGGGCCTGGGCTCTGCTTTCCACTCCCACATTCCCTGACAGGCCCTGGCTCCACCTTCAGGACTCAGTTTGGCAATCACACTTCCAGGAATGTTTCCTAACTGACCCCCCACCCCCAGCCTTTCACCTGTCCTGTCAGGGTCAGGAGTCCGTCCCTGCCTGCTTCCACAGCAGACCATAGCACCTTGCACGCATCATCATCTAGGCTGGCAACAAGCACCCAGGAGGGTGCTCAGAACACGCCTGCCGAGCTCTGCGCGTGGAAATACGGCAGGTTCCTGCTGTCCAACATTTCCTTAGCCAAGTCTTCCCAGCCAAGGGGAAGGTGAGAAGCAGGAAGCACTCCTTCCACAAGGTGCTGCCCATACCTGCCTCCCTGCTCCTCCCTACACGCTGCTGGAGCGACAGCGCAGCCGGATTCCTTAGGCCCATTCTGCAGGTGACACAGGAGCTCTGACACCAGTGCAAGTGGGTACCTGCAGTCCCTGTCCCTCAAAGACCCATCCAGGAACAGACCCTGCTGTGGGCCTCCAGAGACAGAGGGTGGAGTCCGAGAGCTGCCTCCCTCCCTTGTCTCTATTAATTCAAGTCAGTCATTGTCACAGCCAGCCTGCTGTGAGAACCCAGGTCAGGGGAGAGCGAACCCTTTTTTTTTGCCAAGGGCCATTTGCATATTTACAACATCATTTGCAGGCCGTACAAAACTATCCACTTAAAAATTAGTCTGTTGTGGATTTACTGAATTTCAAGCCTGCAGCTGCCTTGGCAGAGCTAAATCAGGCCTTATATGGCCCATGGGCCAGACGGCCCCCACCATGACCTAGGAGATGACGGTCCCCAGGATCTCCAGGCACCTCCACAAAAGGTTACCATAGCAAGCTCTCAAAATACCAACCCAGAGAAAAGTACAGGGGATTCTCCTGCAGGGAGGAAGCTCAAGAGAAGCCAATGTATCAATGATAACTTAGCCATCAATATGGCTTTTCACAAAAGAGACTCTCAAGGCCAAACTCTGCAGCAACTCTTTAGACTCCATTTTTTCCAAAGGGAAAAGAATTCCTGGGACGCAGGCTATGGCAGCCTCTGCCCCTGGACCCTGTGAGGCAGGAGCCCAGCTTCTTCAGGGCTTGAAGGCTGCCTTCAGCCTGCAAAAGCCACGGCCCAGAGGCCACGGGAAGCCTGCCCTGGCTCTCTCTCAGGTGGGAGCAGTCACCGTCCTGGGTCCCCCTAGCCGGTGATGTGGACTCTGTCACAGAACTTACACTCAAGGGCCCTGACCACATCTATAACTGTCTCTCCCCCTACAAAGAGAACAAACTGTGGAAGATAAAGACATCTCCCACCGGGGCCGCGGCTCAATAGGCTAATCCTCCGCCTTGCGGCGCCGGCATACCAGATTCTAGTCCTGGTCGGGGTGCCGCATTCTGTCCCGGTTGCCCCTCTTCCAGGCCAGCTCTCTGCTGTGTCCCGGGAAGGCAGTGGAGGATGGCCCAAGTGCTTGGGCCCTGCACCCCATGGGAGACCAGGAGAAGCACCTGGCTCCTGGCTTCGGGTCAGCGTGGTGCGCCTGCCGCAGCGCGCTGCAGCGCGCCGCCGCGGCGGCCATTGGAGGGTGAACCAACGGCAAAGGAAGATCTTTCTCTCTGTCTCTCTCTCTCTCACTATCCACTCTGCCTGTTAAAAAGAAAAAAAAAAGACATCTCCCATTATCCACCTTTGAACTCCCAAGTCTGAGCATGGCAACAGCACACAGGGGGCGCCTAATAAAAGCCTGCCAACCGATCGACCACATGGATAGAAGCACAGACACACCAAGGAGCAGGCAAATCTGACCGAGCGCGGGCCGACACTCACTTTAAGAGGTACGCTCCAGCTATGTGGACCAGGTACAGGCAAATGTACTGGAGCTGCCGGGGAACTTCCTCCTGGAAGCGAGAGAAGTGACGATCAATCTGCTCACTCCCCAAGCGACGACGCTGGGGATGGGGGCCAGGGCAGAGGGCGAGGGAGGGGCAGACGCTGGCCCGCTCTCCACCCCCGCGCCAGGCTGCTCTGACACACTGCAGCCCCACACTCCAGGCTCCTGAAAAGTCCAAGGGTGAGGCAGTGGCTTTGGGGCTGGGGTCAGAGGGCAAGGTTTGGATTGAGAAAGAAGAGGCAGAGAGACTGGGGAAGTGGTCTTAGGGAAATTATACAAATGAAACCAAAATGTACACAGACTGTGGGAAGGCCAAAAAGCCCTCTGGTCAATCTCTGGATCGATTTCTCCCACAGCCACATGTCTGGTAGAGGGGGCAGGCAAGAGGCTGGTGGCTTCCCTCTCCAGGGTTGACCGGGCACCTCTGTAGGTGCTATCTCATCACTGTACTCCTTCCCCAGGCCAGCCGACTCCCTGTGCTTCTGGGAGGGGCAAGGGAGGGTCCACTGGGAAGGGCTGACAGCAAGCGGAGAAGAGTGGCCTCCAGGGTCAGGGCAGGGCGTACTCACCTTCCGTACCTTCTGGAAGTACAGCTCAGGGAGTGCGTGCAGCCAGTAGGCCAGCTGGCACAGGTAGAAAAACTTCACCTGGAAGCTGGAGACAGGGGAGCAGGTCACAGGGACAGGGGAAAAGAGAACATCCCCCAGGGGGCTCGCCAAGCACAGCGGGCAAGGAGAGGCCAGGACTGGCTGCGAACGTCCCCAGCAAGAAACAGCCGCAGAAGTGCAGTGAAGCGGGGTTCTTTAGCCTCGATGGGAGGGGCTGACTGCACAGCAGTGTGGACGAGGCGGCGCCCACTGCACATGCTGAATGCTCCATGGCTCTTAGCAGCAAGGGGAGACCGGACTCAGCTCCACGCCCTCTGCTCACGCTGCTCCTGAAAGGCTTAGGAGAGGCAAAGGGTGGCCTCCTGAGGAAGACAACGGGCTCAGGTGTTGCCCTCCTGGCCTCGTGGTGGCACCGAGAACGGCAGGGGAAGCTGCCTGCGACACAGCATCAGCCGGGGGAAGCGAGCTGTCAACGTCTGTGGGTCGCCAACAAGGCACAAAGCCCAGAGACCTTCCTGGAGCTGCTCTGCTCCTGCATCGGTCCCCACAGCTTAGGTGCCTCTGCGGCTGCAGCTAATGCAGGTGGCATTTCAGCAGGGGGAGTCTCTGGTCAAGAACTCTGGGAGTGAGTGGCTCTGAGGCAAGTCTCCGGTCCGCGCTACCTGCCCTACCAGGATCAGGACACAATCTGGTCCTCGTGCCAGCTGGCCCCATGGTGCTCTGGCCACCTGTGGAAGGAGAAGCTGGCAGACAGGACCGCATCATGAGCATACTCACGGGAGGTACACGTGCGGGTAGTCTTCCCAGAGGCTTCTCGGGTTTGTTAGGTATCCTTCCTGCAGCGGGAGAGAAGAAAAAGCATTGACAGACATGGACATGAGACTTCCTGGGACCCTAGGACCAGCGCAGCTGTCAGGGACACACCTAGCCCCACCTGCCAGGGGAAGAAAGGAGCAGGAAATGTGAATAAGAGGGGATCTGTCTGTGTGGGACTGGCTGGCCCTGGGCCAGTTTCTTTATGGTGAAGGAGCAGACACAGTAGGACGCACCATGCTCCGGGCTCAGAACACCTGTGTCTGGCTGTGGTCTGACACTGGATGCATCCTCTGAGTGAGCTCATTCATCTCCCTGGCTCATCTAGGGACTCATCTGTAAAGTGAGGATTAAAACATCTGCCCCTATGGGTACTGCTGGAAACAGAGGTGACAGTCTATGGGACAGTGTCCAGCACTGTGCCTGCACGTGGAGGCACTCGGGAAAGGCTTATAGAATGAACAAGCAAATGGATTCCAGAATCACTCCCCCATGGGAAAACAGAAAGCCCAGTCTGGCTTTTCACATCACCATGAGTAAGGAGAAGGGCTGGATCCCGTCAGCCTGCCCACGCATCTGGACTCTGACACCTGGCACACTGTGTGGTTTTCATTCTGCGGTCTCTCTGACTGTGAGCCCCTTCACACCAGGATCTGTTCTGGCCTTTCTCTGCATCTCTAGCTTCTACCCAGCACCTAGGACACAGTGAGGGAGTTAACCTGAAAACCTTCCCAACACAAAACATCCACAAATCCTGGATGAAATCCAACAAATAAGCTGAGCAGAAGTGGAGACCCCTGGAGGCTCCCAAAAATAGGTGGTAAAAGCCAGAGCAGGAAGCGATGGTGCGGCAGCCCTGAAGGCACTGGTCTTGGGGTCAGGGCTTGCATGTCCAAGTGGGAACAGAAGACAGTATCTTGGAGGTGGAACCTGAGATCCTTGTATAAAATCAAGACCCTGGATGGGCTACAATCTCAAAGACAGTGTGTGCTGGGGCTAGCATTATGGCACAGCAGGTTAAGCCAGGGCACTGGTTTGAGTTCCAGCTACTCAACTTCCAATCCCACTCCCTGCTAATGAGTCTGGGAAAGCAGTGGAAAATTGCCCAACGCCTTGGGCCCCTACACCAACATGGGAGACCCAGATGGAGTTCCAGGCTCCAGCTTTGGCCTGGCTCAGCCCTGGCCATTGCAACCATCTGGGGAATGAAACAGTGGACAGGAAACTCTCTCTAACTCTGCTTTTCAAATAAACAAATCTTTTTCCTAGAGACAGAGAGAGAGAGAGAGAGAGAGAGAGAGAGAGAGAGAGAGATTGAGATTGTGTGCCGACAAACATAGGGAATTGAAACTGCCCAGCCTGGGCCCAGGATAAAAACCAAGACATTTACCCTAAAGACCTGCAATCTCAGGTTTACCCTCACATTGTCTAGAGTTCAAATATATCCCACCAAGGTGTTCCAGGAACCACCAAGTTAAGAAATTGGTGTTAACAGTGTTGTATGCCAGTGCTGCCCTGGGGACATGCCCTTATTCCAGGGTGTACAGGTCTCTCACTGATAAAAACCTTGCTACAGATGTGTTTACAATTCAACATTACAAAATACAGGAGGAGCAAGTCAGCTGACACTATGAGAGTCCAGTAAAAACCCGCTGGTTGAATGAAAAAAAAAAAAAAAAAAAAAACGGTGAGTAGTTTCGGTTCTTACTTGCCATTGGGAGAGGGCAGAGAAGGTTAGGTCAGTATGACCTCGTTATAGAAACATGGAAACGAAGGACCGGAGAGGAACAATCAGCTAAAACGTGACAGTATTTATAGTACACAGCTGAAGTCTGGTGGGCTGGGCCAGCAATCTCCTGGATAACTTCAGGCCAGGATAACACTCAGGACAGTGGAAGAATCAACATGGCGATAGTCTGGTGAGAAGAACTCACAGTTCTGTCCACCGGATCTTCAGACATATTTCTAAGTGAGGGTGATCCACCCAGCCTCCAGTTGCCAAATGCCCTGTGACCTGGCAGTAAGCATTTTCAGCAGTCTGTGGCCCAAACCCTCTATAGTCTTGGGCCTGTGTTAACACAACAACCTCCCATTAGCACAGACTCACGGAACAGTGCAGACACGGTTAACTCAGAGAGAAAAGAAAATGTCTCGCCCCAGACTCTTACAGCATCAATTCTAACCTCTTGTCACCACCCCCGTCCTCCCCCATAAACGTGCAGAGATGGAGGGCTCTGGCCTCATGGGTGGTGGTGAGCTCTTTCATCACCCACCATCATCTTCCTCTCCGACATTCACACATCTGCCTTCATCAGATCTTGGACCCAGGTACAGGGACATGTGATCTTCCACACTCTCATTCCAGAAAAACCAGAGAGGTGAGAACGCCCTTTGCTAGAGGAAGCACAACGTATTTAACAAGACAGACGGTACTTCTGGGACAGGGGGCTGATGGGGAGGAGGAGCAGTGTGAGACGACTATGTCTGAAACCCCACTGATCTTGTGATTTTAAACAGGAACCTCCTTGCCCTGGCCCTCTTTCCTTAGGAGACAAAGAGGTCAGGACATGGAAGCCAGCAAGCCAAGAAACTCCCCAGAAAAATGCTGCCTGCTTGTGAATGTCCAGTCCACTGGGACTGGAGGAGGGTGGGGTGGAGGGAGGAGAGCCAGGGCGGCCAGAGAAAAAATGACTCACTGCTCTGACAACAGCCTTTTCCAGACCTCTGTCCAGGCAGCTGTCTGAGGGGGGGAACTGGGGCTGCGGCACCCTCTGAGCTTGGGCATGCCATTGCACCTGCACTCCCAGGGGCTGTGTGTGCAGCCAACAGGCCTCAAGCAGACGGTCTGAAGGAGCTTTGTCCTCTTCTCATTCTACATATCAGCTCCATGAGCTGGAGCGATCCCGTCTGTTTCCCCAGAAGCCTTTCTTGGTGCTGTATGAACAGCAAGATCCACAGGAACAGCAGGATCCAGATGTGACCCAGCCAGCTGCTGCCTTGATTCAGACGTGCCTCACGTCCTCTGACCACAAGAACACCATGCACTGGATCTGCTCGAGAGCCACGGATCTCTCAGCAGAAACAAGTTCTGATACAACCACCAGCACGCGAGTTCTGGTTCTCATTGAATAGTGGACTTTAGGTTTAAATACGAAGGGAGACATCCAAAGGAAGTGAGAGCAGACCGAAGGCCCACCCACCCTGCTTTCTCTGCTGTAGCTTTTCTTCCTTTTCTTTTTCTGAATAAGGAATAGGAGATCAAAGGTAGATGAAAAGTTGGAGGTACAGGGAAAGAGTTGTGGCGTAGCAGGAAAAGCTGCCCCTTGTGACACCTGTATCCCACATGGGCGTCAGTTCATGTCCCAGCTGCTCTACTTCCCATCCAGCTCCCTGCTAATGGCTTGGGAAAAGCAGTGGGAAATGGCCCAAGTGCTTGGGTCCCTGCATCCACGTGGGAGACCCAGATGAAGGTCCTGGCTCTGGCCTGGCCCAGGCCTGGCTGTTGTGGCCATTTGGGGAGTGAACCAGCAGATGGAAGAGCTCTCTGTTTCAAAAAAAAAAAAAAAAATGCTGGAAGTTGATATTCTTATAAAATTATTGGTTGGTCCAGACTCACTCATATCATCTGTATGTATGCAGAGATGGATATAGGAATAAACTGTTTTTTTGTTTTTTGTTTTTTTTTTTTTTTGACAGGCAGAGTGGACAGTGAGAAAGAGACAGAGAGAAAGGTCTTCCTTTATCATTGGTTCACCCCCCAATGGCTGTGCCAGCCGGCGCGCTGTGGCCGGTGCACCGCGCTGATCCGAAGCCAGGAGCCAGGTACTTCCTCCTGGTCTCCCATGCGGGTGCAGGGTCCAAGCACTTGGGCCATCCTCCACTGCCTTCCTGGGCCACAGCAGAGAGCTGGACTAGAAGAGGAGCAACTGGGACAGAACCTGGTGCCCCAACTGGGACTAGAACCTGGGGTGCCGGCGCCACAGGCTGAGGATTAGCCTATTGAGCCGTGGCACCGTCCTAAACTGGTATTTTTAATAAGAGGGGTATGAGGTCCATTTTTGCTTTCCTTTTAAAATTTTTCTGCTTTGTTCACTTAAAAAAATGATCATCTATGATGTTTATAATAGCACTGCATTCATCAGTTAAAAGAAAAACTGTTGAAAGCTGAAGAAGGAGAACGCATTTGCAATTTCTTCATTCATCCTCTCAGCCAGTATTCAGTGAGTACTTAGTACAAGCCAGGCACTGTACCAGCGACACAGCAGTGAGCATGGTGCTGGTGACCCGGCAACTCAAGAGTTTAGGAGGGAGCCTGGCACTGTGGTGTAGTGTGTAAAGCCGAAACCTGCAGTACCAGCATCCCATATGGGCACCAGTTCAAGATCCAGCTGTTCCACTTCCAATCCAGCTCTCTGCTATGGCCTGGGAAAAGCAATAGAAGATGGCCTTGGGCCTTGGCCTCCTGCACCCATGTGGGAGACCCAGAAGAAGCTCCTGGCTCCTGGCCTCAGATTGGCAAAGCTCCAGCCATTTCGGCCATCTGAAGAGTGAACCAGTGGATAGAAGACTTCTCTCTCTCTGCATCTGTAACTCTGTTTTAATAAAAGAAATAAAGAAATAGGGGCCGGTGCTGTGGCACAGGGGGTTAATGCCCTGGCCTGAGGCACTGGCACCCCATATAGGTGCTGGTTGGAGACCCAGATGCTCCACTTCTGATCCAGCTCTCTGCTATGGCCTGGGAAAGAAGTGTAAGATGGCCCAAGTCCTTGGGCTCCTGCACCTGCATGGGAGACTTGGAAGAAGCTCCTGGCTCCTGGCTTCAGATTGGCTCAGCTCCAGCCATTGCGGCCAAGTGGGGAGTGAATCATTGGATGGAAGACCTCTCTCTCTTTCTCTCTCTGCCTCTCCTCTCTCTGTGCAACTCTGACTTTCAAATAAATAAATAAATCTTTTTAAAAAACAAAGACATAAATCATTAAAAAAAAAAAAAAAAAAAGAGTGACAAGAAAACACCAGTATTGGGCCAGGTGCAGAAAAGGCAAACTGACAGGGTTCTGCAGGGAGGCAACATGTAGGTGAAGACTTGAACAGCAGGAAGGAGCCAGCCACGGGATGTCAGGTGATGGGGCACCTGAGCACAGGGACCACCCGTGCTAAGCCCAAGAGGCAGGAAGGGCCAGGCGGAAATGCCGATTTCACTGTAAATGTGAGGGAGGCTTTTAGGTAGCATGACATGCTTTAAAAGATATGTCTGAAAGCATTCACAATACTGTCTTCCTGTTGTTTTCTTTAAGAGAGAAACAGACACCACAGGGTCACTGTCTATATTCACCGCATGGGGCAGCAGAACCCCAGGACCTCCTATTGCAATGTAACTGTAACTCAGCGCCAGGTCATCAGCTTTTCCACACACACATACATACCCTGCCCTGCCCAGTCTCTGGTAACCATCACTGTCCTCTTAATTTCTACAAGATCAACTTTTTTAAATTCTACATATCCACAAATACGTACAATTTCTATATGTCTGTCACACTCTTTAAATAAAAACATAAAGATGCAGCTGGTGCTGAAGAAAAAAGCAGCTGGGGATGGGGGGTTCAAATGTCTACAAACACCTCCTTCTGGAAGGCAGGTGCTTTGCGGTCCCGGCTGGAGATGATGGCGGCTCGGACGTCACATCAGGGCTTCTCTGCCTCGGCACAACTGACAGCTGGGGGCAGCTCATTCTTTGCTGTGGGGGCTGTCCTGTGCTTTACAGGACACTGAGCACCATCCCTGGCCTCTGCCATGAGATGCCACATTGCCAAACATCCCTTCAGGGCCAAGTGTCCCCCGCCCCTTCCCTGGCTGAGAATCACTGTGCTGGGGTTAGAGACCAGATGAAGAGAAGCTCAGTGTGTTCCGGAGGCAGAGGTGGCAGAATCTGCTGCTGCACTGACTGCGGAGTGAAAGAGAGACTCATGACAACAATGGCATCGTGAAGATGGGACTTCAGAGGTGAACCGGTGCTCCTTCTCTTACAAATCTACCTCTTCTTCTTCAGCCACTTGCCTCCCACACTCTAGATGGTCAGGCGGAGGAAGGGAAGGCAAGGAGTTAAATGGTATTAATAGGAGTTGGGGGCCGGCACCGCGGCTCACTAGGCTAATCCTCCACCTAGTGGCGTCGGCACACCAGGTTCTAGTCCTGGTTGGGGCGCCGGATTCTGTCCCGGTTGCCCCTCTTCCAGGCCAGCTCTCTGCTGTGGCCAGGGAGTGCAGTGGAGGATGGCCCAAGTACTTGGGCCCTGCACCCCATGGGAGACCAGGAGAAGTACCTGGCTCCTGCCTTCGGATCAGCGCGGTGCGCCGGCCACGGCGGCCATTGGAGGGTGAACCAATGGCAAAGGAAGACCTTTCTCTCTGTCTCTCTCTCTCACTGTCCACTCTTCCTGTCAAAAAAAAAAAAAATAGGAGTTGGGGTCATTATGGCTTTCCTTGGTGCCCTGGTCATTCCTCCCTGCTGACCAGAGCAAGTAGGGGAACTGGCTGAAGGATGGAAGAAGCACGCTGCAGAGGGGTGCTGGGCAGCGTGGCTCTGGCTCCAATCTGGTCTCCATGGGTCACGGCTGGGGTGGAATGTCTGTCGGAAGCAGGAGGGCTGAGAGGGTAGGTGATTCAGAGAGCAGGCTGTGCTTCCCCTGTAGGACCACGTCCAGCTCTGCTATCCAGAGCCAGAGGGGTGAGCATGGACTCGCCGTCAACGGGCCTGGGAGCCGTAAGTATAAGACTTCAGTGCACTGCACACAGCAGGGGGCACCACGCACAGTCTGAGTCTGCCCCCTGGACAGGGCAGCCCAACGGCCCTGCCCGAAGAGGACAGAAGTCTTAGGTCCCTCACTTAAGTTTCTTAGTGTGCTGCTTAGAAAAACCTCTCTGTGATGTCACGCTAAGAGGAACAAATGTGAGACACACAAGGGCATGTTGACCCTTGCTGGGAGAACAGGGAGACAGGGCGTTCCTGCAGAGAGCTCACACTGTCACCACAGGCAGAGGACTAAGGACTGAGCCATCCTCAGGAAGGTTGGGGAGGAAACCTCAGAGGGGTCACAGGGTTGCTGAGTTTTCCAAGCCCCAGGCCTGGGTTTCTCCCACCTGGGACGTGGTTACAGACGGGAGGTGCAGCAGGTGGGGTGGGGGCTAATGAAACATTTCCTAGCACAACAGGCAAGGTCTTGTTACATGGAACCCCAAAGGACCGTCTGCATTCCTTGCTTTGAAGGAATTTTGCTGTTCCGAACGCTGCTTGAAATAAGAGCCCTATTGTGTAGAAAGGGGAGGAAGATAAACTGTCTGGTGCTGCAGTCACGTATGCGATGGCATTGACCTTCAGAGGATCTGATGTGCATTCAGGGCGATGCCTTCCTGGCTTAAGGGAGGCCAAGGCAGTTAACAGAAATTGCAGTGGACAGGGCTGGTGTTGTGGCACAGCAGGTTTGGTAGCCGCCTGACACAGAGCATCCCATATCATAGTTTCCGTTCCAGTTTTGGCTGCTCCACTTCTGATCCAGCTCCCTGCTAATGTGCCTGGGAAAGCAGTGGAAGATGGCCCAAGTGCTTGGGCCCCTGCATGCATGTGGGAGACTCAAATGCAGTTTCAGGATCTCAGCTTCAGCCTCGCTCAGCTCTGATTACTATGGCCATTTGGGGAGTGAACCAGATGATGGAAGATTCTCTCTCTTCCCCTCCCTCCCTCCCTCCCTCCCTGTCTCTCTGCCTCTCTCTGCCTTTCTCTCTCTCCTGCTTTCTATGACACTATGCCTCTGAAGTCAATAAAAGAAATTTTGAAAATCTGAAAAGACCGGTAGATCCAAGATGGCTGAATAGGGAAAAGACGGGCTGATTCTGACCATGGGGAAAATACCAGAAGGAACCACATTCCCAGGGTACAGTTGCAGAGAAGTTTGCAGTGAAAATCTAGAGAAAGAAGACAGACACTGTGGAGCAGCAAGGATGGTACAATCACACAGCAGTGAGACACCATCTCCTTGGAACAAAGTGAGAGGAACCTGTGGCAGCCCATGCCACAGGGTAATAGTGTCTGAGGGAGAACTAGGCCCAGTGACTTTGAGTCTGGCCTGGAGCACTAGTGGGGGACAGGGTGCCCACCTAACCCTGTGAAGGGAGAACACATTGCTTCTCTCCTCTCTCCCCCAACCACGGTGCCCGGCCACCAGCAGGGAGGAAGTCCCACCTCAATAAGGCAAGCAGAGGCGGCTGCAGCCTGTGTCTGACTGGAAGATTTCATCGGAGGAACAAATCTGCAGTCCCTGCTGACTCTGAGTCTGGCCTGGAAGGCTGCAGCAGGAGAGAGGTTAGGCCTGTGAAGCTCTCCCCTCCCCTCACTCTGTCAAGGTGCACTTGGGCTTGACTTGCATAGCAGAGCACCAACCAACCTCTATCGGGCAGGCAGCTGGCTCTGGAACAGCGGGGCTCTCTCTGTGTATGGGGAGGCTGACAGTGGATCCTCTGCTCCCTGTGACTGTGCAGTAGGACGCGGGGTGTGGCTGGGTCTTTGGGCAATCACTGGGGTCTGGCTTCAGAGGGTCCCTGAGTGCCTGGGGTGGGTCATCGCAGAGGGTTCTGCACTCACACTGAGAAGCACACAGATCCTTTGTATACTCATGCACCTGTATGGGTAGAGTACATAGCCAGTGTGGGCTTACTCTGGGCAGCTGAACACCTTGGCAGAGAGAGGCTGAGGCTGTGATCTTAACAGCAGGTGTAATCATACCCTACCCTTTGCTGACAATAGAGATCTGCCATGCACAACTTGGATGTCACCCTGGACTCTTGCCCCATCCTCATTCACTGGCCGGAACTCCCTGGCCTCACCCAGCACATGTCTCTGGGTATCTGCTGAAGCAGCAGACACTCCACTAAGCCACAGGAGCATATTTCAAAGACAAAAGGCCTCGAAAGGGAAAACCAAGTGTTTCCACAGATGCCTAAAAATAAACGCAGAAATACAAGAAACAAGAACAAGGAATACAATATAACTCCCAAAAAGGAACACAACACAACTTCAATATTAGAATGTGAAGACAAAGAGATTAATGAGATGCCTGAAAAGGAATTCAAAAGAATGATCAAAAGATTACTCAAAAACACAGAGAAGCAAATACACGAGATGAAGAAATCCACACAATATGGATGAGAAATTCTGCCAGAAGTAGATATATTAAAGAGAAATCAAACTGAAATATCAGAAATAAAGAATTCAATAAGTCAAATAAAAAATACAGTAGAAAGCCTTAACAAGAGACTCAGTGAGGCAAAAGAAAGAATATCTGAGTTAGAAAACAAATTTTTGGAAATATCTCAGACAAAAAAATAAAGAAGTAGAAGAAGAAGAAATAATAATATTGAAAAAAAGAAAAAAAACTGTGCTGGGCTTGCACCTAGACCCCCAAGTCCAAGCTGTCCCTGCCACTTTAGGGATGAACACGGCTTGTAGGCAGGCCTTGCAGAACAGTATAGAGCCATGTAGATGCATGGCACTGTGATGGTGGTATCACCCACAACTCCACAACCAACTGCTTTTAGACCAGATGGCTCTCTCCAGCTAGAAAGCAGCCTCTGTATACCATTTTGCCTCTCCCTGCAATACCAGGAGGATATAAAAATCCTTTAAGAAAATAAGAAACTTGCTTCTTGCTCTCTTCCCTGCTGAGCCCTTGCAGAGATTTCAACAGCAACCCAAGAGCCAGAGCCAGAGCCAGAGCTGCCTGGGGGCCGGCCCTCACCCTTCAGCAGTCCCAAGGCCACTCACCGTCACCACCACATAGAAGCACCATATCACTGAGCTGAGATGAAAGACGACCAGCTGTCCAGATTCGTTGAACTTGCTGTGTTTGACCTTGGAGAGATGAAGCCGTTTGCTGATTTTCTGAAGAATAAAGAAAACCCGGTGTGTTAAATATCTGAGTGTATTCATCCTGGGTGGGTTTCAGACTCCTGCTTTCTCCCCACAGAAGGGCTGAGCTTTGTTAAACGCTTGCAGTTGGACAGAATCTAAGTTATCTGGCATAAGCTTACTGTGTACATACAGTGCTTAGTTCAGGGTGAGTATTTTGAGAAAGTGCTAAATGAATACCTCCAGCCTACACCTAAAGAAAACATTTCCCAAACATGGTGTATTTGACATACCCACGAGGACACTGTTTTGTCGTATCTCAGACAACTGTCTCCCATGTCATCAGTACCACTGAACCAAGGGCTGACTGAAGGCGGCTGCGACAGGGACGGAGCCCTGAGTGTGATGAGGCTAGTCCAGTCAACGGGACCAATGAGTGGGTGAACAAATTCAGGGCTACAGTTTCCTCCCAGAATGCAGGGGAAAACTTCCCGCAGGGCACCTCCACAGTTCCTGACATGTCACTTACATCTAAAATGTACTCCTGAACCACAGCGTGCAAGATGATGGTGATGAAGATGTAGAACAAGATTGTGACCAGGTCCTTCGGGCCGTAGTGGTAGTGCACAGTCTCGCTGTCTGTGGAGGTAACAAAGAGTCCTGTCAGCATCCCTGGGATGAGGAAGCATTCTGGGACCCAAAACTGCAAAGAGACAGGAAGTAGGGTGTGCCATCAAATGCTACCCATTTGCTGTACCTCTAGTCTCTGCCCCCAGAATCCTGTCCAGCCTCTGGACTTGGCCCCTGGGAAGGGCCAACAGGGAGGGCTAAGGAAACCAAGTGTACCACGGATGTGTGCTAACTGTTTATCTCCTGAGTCTGGGTAGGAGGGTACATGGTTGGTCTTCACCACTGGTTCCACCACTCCCTGGCCGTGGGACTCTAAGTGACCACCTGCTGAGCCTCAATTTCTTCCCCTTGTGAAATGGGACTGCAGTCACACTTCACCCAGGAAACACATTGTGGGTTAAGAATGTGGACCTGGAAGACAGAGAGCCTGAGCTTCTTCCCATGTGGCCTTGGGCATCTCTATGAGTGCCCTTCTGTGCCTGTTTCCTTATCCAGCAACTGAAGACAGCAGTGCCTGCTTGTAGGGTTACTGTGAGAACCACGTGAATGAATGAAGAAAAAGAACTTGTAACAGCGACTCATGCGTAGTGTTAGACACAAGGGTGCTTCAAAGATTCACGGACAACGGGATTAGAACATAAGCTATGTTGATATGAAAATTCTGAAATTTATGCATACAAGGGGTCTTCAATAAGTTCACAAAGGGGCCGGTGCTGTGCTACAGCGGGTAAAGCTGCGACCTGCAGTGGCATCCCCTATGGATACCAGTTCGAGTTCCATTTGTTCCACTTCTGATTCAGCTCTCTGCTATGGCCTGGGAAAGCAGCAGAAGATGGCCCAAGTGCTTGGGCCCCGCACCCACATTGGAGACCTGGAAGAAGCTCCCAGCCCCTGGCTTCGGATTGGCCCAGCTCAACCATTGCAGCTGTTTGGGGAGTGAACCAGCAGATGGAAGGCCCTTCTCTCTCTTTCGGCCTCTGCCTCTCTGTAACTCTGCATTTCAAATAAAAAATAAATAAATCTTTTTTTAAAAAAAAGTTCAGGAAATTCTATTATGAAAGAACTCTGCATGGGTTTCAAAATTTCTTTGCACCAAAATTAACTTATCTTTTTAAAAAAATTTACTTATTTCAAAGACAGAGACAAAGATAGCACTCCCATGCATTGGTTCACTCCCCACTCTGGGACTGGGCAGAAAGCTGAAGACAGAGCCAGGGACTCAAGCCAGGTCTCCCGCACAGGCAGCAGAAACCTCGTCACTGCAGCCATCATCTGTTGTCCAGGGTCTGCATCATGAAGTAGCTAGAGTCAGGAGCTGCAGATGGGGACTGAACCCCGGAACTCTGTCTCAGATGGGATGTGATTTTCTGAATCAGGATCTTAACACCTAGGCCAAATGCCTGCCCCCAACTTACCTTTTAAATCTACTTCCCATGAACTTTTTGATGTATGGATTTGCTATTATTCTTGTTGCTGGGGTACTGTGAGGATTAAATGATCATTTATGTGTCCGGTGCTTATCACAGTGCCTATAACGTACAGTAAGCATGCAATGACTGGTGGCTTACTATTCAGTAGTAATGGAGTACACAGAATCCCAGGGCAGAGATACTGTAAAAGTCCTGCCACTAAAGCCTCCTTTCCTACGTACAGAGGAGACTTCATACCCTTGCTCTAGTTAGTAGGCTGCAGGGCTCTGGGAGCCTGGCAAATGCTGGCCTGGAGCTCGTGGCCCTGTAAACCATCCGCCAGCTCCACGCAGACACACTGGCGGCCTTTCCAGCTGTGCTGCTTCACCCTGAGTCACACACATATGAGTCATCGCTTTGCTGGGACACATTTACCAGAAGGTAAGCCCGGGCTGCCTTGTTCCAGGGTGTCCAGGGAGTGAAGGCAACCTGACTTGGTCACTCTGGGCATCAACACGAACCCTGCCACCCCGGCCTGCAAGACTGTGATGAGCAGGGAGAAAACATGCACTTGGCAACCAGACACACTTTCCTTTCTGCTCTCTCTCCTCCTTGCCTAAGGACCTCTGTGAAGGGCACTGAGCCCAGTGGCACAGCGCAACATGCAGCAAGAAGATGGACAAACCAGCACGTACAGGCAGACAGGCCCAGTGCAGCCAAGGGTGCATAGAGAGAGCCAGCACAGGTGTGGGCGCAACTTCGGCGAGGGTCGTTGGTCAAGGGGAACAGAACAGCACTCCAACTTGGGAGTAAGTGGAACAGCCAAGCCATGGTGGGAGGTATCCTAGGTGGAGGAGGCAGCCTGTGCAAAGTAGGACTGGAAGGAGGCTGTGGTGCTGGGGGTGGCAGGGGAGGTGATTATGGGAGCCACACGGCTGCTGACAATGGCTGGGGTGTTGCTGACAGGGTGTGGACATCACCTTGAAGGTAATGTGGGCACACCAAAGAATTCAATCTACTCTGTGGTCTAACAGGCTTACTCTGGCAGCAGTGGACAGTGGCAAGCCTGGAGGTAAGGACAACAGTCAGAAAGCTATCCCTGTACTAGGTAAGGAATGGGGGGCCTGTATCAGGCAGGAGGAGAAAGAGGAATGAGGAGGAGGGCTAGCACTGACAGAGAGTGGGTGAGATGCAGCGACTGACCCTCCCCAGGGGGCGCAGGTGCCACGCAGCAGGTGAGGTACTCAGCCTCCCATCCCTGTTCCACCATCATGAAGCCGGGATTGCAGTCTCCTTTCCTCTCCACAAGTGAGGACCAAGGGAGACTCATTCAACGGCAGCAGATTTTGAAACTATAAACAGACACTAAGTTTCATCATCAAGACCAGTGTGATTGGGCAAAATGGAATGTATTTTATACACAACCAAATGAGTGCAGTCTAAAGCTAATCAGAGAAAATAATCCCCATCAGGACTTTGGACTATGCATTCTGAATCCTGATTTGCCTCCCAAATACTCAACTCCAGCGAGATGTGACCCCTGTGAGCCCTTGCTTTTGACAACCGCCTCCACGTGCAATCCCAGCCAACAGCATTTTCAGGGCATGAGCAGTGAGCAGCTGGGCATGAGCTCACCTGCCCTCTTAGAGCTAGGAGGGTCCACATCATTCCCTTGTGGACTTAAAAGCCAGCGGCCAATGAACTACAACTCAACAAAAAAACAACTTGAATGAAAAATTGGCAAAGAGCTGGAAGAGACATTTCTCCAAAGATATACAAATAAATGGTCATTAAGAACATGAAAAGGCACTTAACATCACGAACCATTAGGGAAATGCAAATCAAAACCACATTGAGATACCATCTCAACATCCATTTGTAGATTGTAGATGACTACAATCAACAACAATAACAACAAAAAAAAAAACCTCAGAAAATACAGTGTTTGGAGAGAATGTGGAGCAACTGGAAGCCTTGTACATTATTTGTGGGAATGTAAAATGGTGCAGCAACTAAGAGACAGAGCGTGCTGGTTCCTCATAAAATTAAAAATAGGATTATATAATCCAACCCTTCCACTTCTAGGCATGTAAAGAATTAAAAGCTGGGTTTGTTTTTTTTTTTAATTTATTTATCTGAAAGGCAGAGTTACACAGAGAAAGGGAGAGAGAAAGAAAGATCTTCCATCTATTGATTCACTGCTCAGATGGCTGCTAGGGCTAGACCAGATGGAAGGCAGGAGCCCACAGACCCATGTGGATCTCCCACAGGGGTGGAAAGGTCCCAAGTACTTGGGTCACCTTTCGTTGCTTTCCCAGGCACATTAGCAGGGAGCTAGATAGGAAGTAGAGCAGCCAGGACTCAGACTGGTACTCATATGGGATACTGGCATTGCAGGCACTGGCATAACCCACCGTGCCACAATGCCAGCCCCAAAAGCAGGTTCTTGAAATAGTCGTACATCCATGTTCCAGTATTCACAATAGCCAAAAGGTAGAAGTAACCTAAGTGACCACCGATGGATGAATGGATACACAAATGCGGTCCATACATGCTATTATTCAGCCTTGGAATGGAAGGGAGTTCGGACACATGCTACAATAGGGATGAACCTCAGAACGCAAGGCTGAGTGAATTAAGTCAATCACAAAAGACAAACACTGTGAGACTTCCAAGATACAAGGTGCCTAAGGAAGTTACGTTCATAGAAACACAAAGAAGAATCATGAGTGTCAGGAACTGCGAGAGCAGGAATGGGGAGTGGCTGTTCAGTGGGTACAGGAGCTGCAATAAAGCAAGACGGAAAGAGTTCTGGAAATTGGTGATGTAAATAACCTAACCACTGCACTGTACACTTAAAAACGGTCATGACAGTGATAAGTTTTATATCTATTTCAGCACAATTTAAATAACAACGGCCAGATGTGATAAGTGTTCTAAAGTGGACTGAAGGCTGGGGTAGGGTAGGCTGGGCCTAAAGAGGCGGGGGATCACAAAAGGTACCTACAGGTCACAGAATATACCCTACGGCAACAGAAAGCTCTGAAAGGCTTTAGTGACACAGGCCCCTCTTCCTGACACATGGAGAAGGGGTTAGGGCAGCAAGGGTAGAGACCAGGAGAGCAGCAGGGAGGCGCCTGCAGACAGCACAAAGGAGAGCCCTGCGCAGAGAGGATACCCCAGTGATGGAGAACGACAACCTCACTGGACAGATCTGAAATCCAAGGAACAAGAGGATGGACTGGCTGTGGATTCTTCTGTGTGGTTCTTCTGGAATCTCACCCGTACCCTGCAGCCCTCCTTCACAGGCTCAGAGTTTTCCAACATGCATTACCTTTTTTGATCCTTGTAATAACTCACGAGACATGCAAGTATAGTGGATGAGGAAACAGGGTTCAGAGACTTAAGGGACATGGTCCCCCCGCCTCAGCTGTTGTGGCCACCTGAAGAGCGAACCAGCAGATGGAAGATATTTCTCTCTCAATCACAACGGCTGCTTCTTTAGCTATGAGGTACAGCCAGTACAACCAGCTTCCCAACATTTCAAAAGCAAAGAGAAACATCTTTACAAGAAATCGCCTGGTTTTCAAATGTGGTGACTAATCCTAAAATGTGAAAAACAGTGTCTTTGCCAACACCAAATTGGCCAATGAAAACACATCTA